CTGCACCTTGTTGTCTCGGATTCTCCAGCATCTGCAGTTCCTACTATCCCTGCTGTGTATCAAACTGGGTCTAAAGGACAGATAAATTGGGGAATTCTTGTGTACTTTTATAAAATCTTTAACTTTTGTGATGCCTGCAAGAACAGTAGGGCTTGATTTCCAGTGCATTACCCCAGCGAGACCTAAAAATACTGTGTGTACCATCAGGATAGAGAATTATGTGATGCTAGCTAATGAATATGATTGTGAGCATGACTATGATAGGCTGTTGCTTGAAAATTTATGGGAAAGCTCTTTGAATTTTGGCACAAGTTCCCAGAAGTTAGTGAGGAGGATTTTTCAGGAACGATTAGTTTGGGCATGCCTTTATTTAGTTTATGTTTCAAGCTTCGGTTAGTGCATCAAGTTTTGACTTTTATAAGTACTTCTTTTGTAGTGACTTGATACATCTGATTGACAGCACCCTTATTTCTGTGGGTCTGTAACTTTGAAGCCTGGGCAAGTATTCTGGATTCAGCACAGCTGACGAGAATCATAGAATCCCTACAATGTGGAAACAGGCCCTTCGGCCCAACAAGTCCATGCCAACCCTCAGAGCATCCCACCCAGACCCATCCACCTAATCTACGCATCCCTGTACACTATGGGCAATTTAGCATGGCCAATCCACCTACCCTGCACATCTTTGGACTGTGGGAGAAACCAGAGCACCCGGAGGAAACCCACGCAGACACAGGGAGAATGTGCAAACTTCACACAGGGTGGAATTGAACCCTGTGAATGAACCAAGTGGCTCATCAGGTCAGTTTGGAGGACAGAAAAAACTACTATGGGTCTGGAGTCATTTGCAAGGCAGACTCAGTAAAGAAGGCAGATTTCCTTCTTTGAGGGACGTTAGTGAACCAGATGGGTTTTATAACAATTGGCAATGATTTCACAGTCAATATTACTGAAACTATTATTTTTTTAAAATTCCAGATTTATCAATTGAATTGAAACCTAACCTCAGTGGGCAGCACGGTGGCTCAGTGGTTAGCGCTGCTGCCTTACAGCGCCAGGGACCCAGGCTCGATTCCAGCCTTGGTGACTGTCTGTGTGGAGTTTGCACAATCTCCCTGTGTATGTGTGGGTTTGCTCGGGGTGGTCTAGTTTCCTCCCATGGTCCAAAGGTGAAAGGTTAAGTGGATTGGCCATGCTAAATTTGCCATAGTGTCTAGGGTGGGAAATGCAGAGATAGGGTAAGGGATGGATCTGGATGGGATGCTCTTTGGAGTGTTGGTGTGGACTCAATGAGCTGAATGGCCTGCTTCCACGCTGCAGTGATTCTATGATGATTCAATAGCAAAATACTGTGATCAGTAGAAATCAGAAATACAAAAAACTGTTGGAAATACTCTGCATATCTCCTGAAGAAAGAAACTTCCGATAGGTAGATCACTTGTCTGCTTTATCCACTTGCTTAAACAGGGGGAGGCGATGACCTAGTGGTATTATCGCTGGACTGTTAATCCAGAGACCCAGATAATGTTCTGGGGACCCAGGTTCAAATCCGGCCATAGCAAATGGTGGAATTTGAATTCGATAAATATCTGGAATTAACAACCATGAATTCATTGTTGATTTGTTCACAAAAACCCATCCTGTTCACTAATGTCCTTTAGGGAAGGAAACTGCCATCCTTATCTGGTCTGGCCTACATGTGACTCCAGACCCACAGCAATGTGGTTGACTCTTAACTGCCCTCTGAGCAATTAGGGATGGACAATAAATGCTGCCCAGCCAGCGATGCCCTTGTCCTGTGAATGAATAAAGGACATCATTACCACATACTCTTTGCCTAACTCTCTGGTCATTCCCTGTTTGAATACCTCAATGGTCATAGCACTAAACCACCTTTGCCCGTTCACAAATTAAATTTGGGCAGTAGGATTCCTTTTCTTCCTCTCTGCAGCCTTTGGTACAGTCAATTATACCATTGCTTTCTCATTTAAGATTTCTATAGTGTGGTCTTTAATTGTTTTACTCCTGGTGCTTCTAATGTAGCCAGCATATGCCATGCAATGGCCTCCCTCTCCTGCATTCCCATCATCTATAGTCTGCTGGAAAATTCAGTTTTTAGCCTGTGCGTCGTGAATACATCCTGCCTCTTCATATCATTACATATAATCTTTGGTTAAATTTCCAAAAGTGTTCTGAGGACAACCAATTTTAAATCCCCACCAACACTATTCAGTCTGTGATGATTGCTATGCTGTCTTACAGTCTAGGAAACTAAAGCTTCCATCAATTAACTATTGTAAAGGATATTTGGTTTCCTGTAATAAATCTGTTCCTTACTGTTGATCTCATCTTGTTCAGTTGTTCATGCAGACTGAACCTAGGAATGTGCAATTTGGCCCTCTGCTGGACATTGACTTGAGTTTAATACTGTATATCCAATCTCACAAAGATTACTGCTGCTACCTTCAAATCTGAATTTCCCTTTCCACTCTGTAAAGCAATTTGACACATTTCATCGCATTAAAGGAGCTTTAAGTCATTATTGTTTTCTTCTCTTCGTTCAAAAATGGTTTCTATAAACCAAAACTTGGAATGGATTGTTTATTTATAATTATCTTATTGACTATGCTGCTCATTTCAATTTTGGTAGTTTTCTGCACTATTGCGTGTCAACTAAACTTACTTAACTAAAAATAAATATTCAAAAGCACTTCATGCTTAATGGAAGACATAGAAGTACCTATTATATTTCTACATTTTTGCAACTCAGTGCATCAAATGTTACTATTGCTTTATGTTTTAAATAGAAATTCTTCATAAGTCTCAAGTAAAATAAAGTTGGCAATAAATGAGATGTGTTTATTCTCTGGATGTTTTGAGGTCAGTTTTAACTCATTGAAAAGCAAGGCAAATGATGTAATGATTTGCATTTTTCCTAATTTTCTCTGGTTTAAATTGAGATAAAATTGATAATTAATATAAAAAATACATAAACCAATCTTTATACTATTCTAAATTAGTTCCTCAAAGTAAGCAATGTTAGTCTTATGGTATTGAACATTTTTTAACTTATGTTCAGAGTTACCATAGGGTGTTTAAAAGTTAAATTCACTACAGGCAAAGTGCATGGATTACATGCATTCAGTTATTTGTGGTTACTTTGGACTTTAACCTTGGAAGGTCAATGTGACATTTTAATTTCCAATATCACCATACTGGCTACACTAAACAAAATCATAATTTAGTGCAGTGCAAGTTGTGTTGTTCTTTGCATTATGTAGAACTTATAATTTGTTCAGACTCCCTTTACTACAGTACTAATAGATAACAGATTCCTATGTCATTCAGTTAAATTAGATTCAATTCCCAGGTTTAAAAGGTATGCTTACATACTGTGTTACACAATCACTGAAAGAACTCCCTGCTGTTCTTTGGAAGCTATTATTGAATCTTTTAAATCCGCCAGAGAGGGCAGATAAGACTTCATTTGATATCTAACCCAAAAAGTGCATCTCCAGAGCACATCTCCCTGAGTACAGTTGAATTGTTTGTCTAAACCATGTGCTCAAGGTCTGAAAGCACAGTGCTCTGATTCAGATGTAAAAGCGCCACCATCTGAGACAAACTTTTGTATAATTACATCTGTGCTTGTTTATCCTTCCAAAATAAACATGTCCATAAATTAGAGGAATCATATTAGAAAATGTGATAATTCACCTCAAACTTAGCTTAAAATTATTCTGATATCATTCTTTCTACAAAATGACTTTCAACTGTGTGACAAGCACTGTTTGGAGAACATATTCAGAAATTGTAAGTGTATCAAGTAAGTTTAATAAATGTATGCCCTGCAGTAACAAAGTAAGCCATGTGCTAAATCAATGATAAAATATTTCAGATACACACTTCATCATATAACCACACTGATTTTCCTTTGAGAACGTTATGATTAATTACAAACAAAATCTTGGCAATTAAAAACAATTACAATTTAAGGATTTGTTTTAAATTGTATTTGCAAGAGTTATATTTAAGCTTGTATACATTTGCACTATAATCTGAAACCAGTTAACTCCTGAATATTAATATAGCCAATTAGCAGTATAAGGAAACCTGTTCACTTTTGGAGGTAATTTGTGCTTTATAATTTACATTATTCCAGTATTAAGATATTGAACTCAGACATCACGTTAAGTACATGCAGTTGGTCAAGAATTTATAGCTATTATAAATTATAATAGTATTTTTTCAAAGGTGACCAATACAGCGTCATTTATTATATATAGTCTTATAGCATTCTAAGTCAGTAAATGGTACTTAAATCTATTATGAAAGATGATTAGATTAGGGAAGTGTGTGTTTTGTCCCAATGTTTGAGAAAATATGATTTCAGCTTAGAATTTTCATTGTCAAGATTCAGCCTTGCACAGAAAATGAAAGAAAGCTTCAATAACAGACATAAAGATCAACATAACAATTGGGTTTACTATACTGTTCTCCATGAGTACTGCTGACAGAATTTAATTACGAACAAGAATGAAATGAAGAGAAATATACAATTTCACCAGTTGTGCAGATGTAACTTTAATATAATAGCACAATGCAAATTTCCATTGAAATAATGTTTACAGTGAATTATTTTAATAAATTTAGTGCATAATACTGTACATCAAAACTAATTTAATGAAGAATTTCTCTCTGAATGAAACTGTAAGATCCATTAGGGTGGAGAATTGACACTGCTTCAATTAATTATCTGTAAATAAAAAATGAATATTTACTTTCATTTTTAATTCCATTAGCAGTGTATTTGTATAAAATTTAAGTTGAACATTTTCGTTTTGGTTAACTTGTGTCTGACATACAGAAAAATATTATAAATCTGAATCATTTCACAACTGAACTACTAAGAAATCGACAAAGATTGAATTTCATTTCTTTAACATGGAGTGCACTGTCCCACTATAGGGACATACCCCATTGCCTAAATCCAGAGTATTCAGATCCAAGTTTTCAAAAAGCAAAGACCAAGGACTCAGAAGACTGACAGTAGTACTGCTGAAGACTGGGGAGCTGAAACTGCACAATTCACCAATCATATCAGTGGGAAGATTTATATTGATAGTTCAACTAAGACCACATTCTGAAATCAAGTGGTATAAATGCTCATCTCCATGGCAGGTTTACCTCTCCAAACTATAATAACGAACCAAACGAGTTGGTCAATCCTCAAATGGCCTGGATTACGATCCATCTGTTTAGTTCTGGTATTGGATCAATTGGTCTGCTGCAGAGGACAACCTATCCAAATCCATCATACAGCCAACATAACTGCAAGGACATGTTCTTGTGGCTCAGTGGTAGTGTCCCCACCTATGAGTCAGGACCCCCAGGTTCAAATCCTACCAGTTCTAGTTTTTCTTACACAGCGATCATGATTTGCTACGAAGTGTCAGTCATTTGAGAAATTAGTTATAGGGATTTGAATTCTTGCTTAGTGGACACGAGGTAATGGGTTGGAGTGATAATGTGAACATTATAAATCAACAATAATGTGCATATGGTGTCAGTTAGTTTGGATGGCTGGTTAGTAATGCAGAGTGACGCCAACAGTGTGGGTTCCCACATTGGCTGAGGTTACTATGAAGGACTCTCCTTTTCAACCTCTCTCCATGCCTGAGACATGGTGCCCCTCAGGTAAACCACTACCAGTGATGTCTCTCTAATGAGAGAGCAGCTCTACGGTCTGGTAAGACTGTGGCAACTTTATCTTTTAATATATGCAAAATTGCTATCATCCTACTGTTCACAGTTGAATCAAATTTAACAATTGTTGACTAAATGGATTTGTACCCATGTAATGTAAGCCATACACACTAGAAAATGTTCAGGCTCAATCCTTAGCCAATGCAAAGTTAACTAATTGTGTTTTGACATCAATGAATGTTTCATTTAACAATGTTGGCCTCAAAACTCAATAGTGGAAAACAAAACCAGGGTCCCTCTTTCTCGCCACTAATCAGTGCACTCTGCTGGATGCTTTTATTTATAGCTTCTAAGTAATTTAGGATGGGAGCCTTCATTCAAACAAACTTTTGAAAGTTGTGGTTTAAGGTCACCCATGACACAAAAAGCAGTGAGTCTGTAGCATTGGAACCATACTCTATTGTTATTTTCAAGAAGGCAGGTGAGGAAATCAAAGGGAAAAAGAAGAATAGCTTAATCACAAAAAGACTCACTGTAAGAGGATTTGCTTCCATAATATGCTTCCAGAGCTGCAGAAAAGTCCTCAGGCAGCTGCCTGATGTTTATATTTTCAAGTCTGCAGTAGATAACAAATAACTTTTAACACCCAAACCAATTTTTAAATACCCTAACTGTTAAATACCCGACTGTTTTTTTTTTCCTCATTTTGCCCACATTATTAATAAGCAATAGTGTCATGTAACACCATAAATTTCAGCCTTTTGTGACTTGGTAATGGTTTCAGAGTACAGTGTGGAAATGTACAGTAACCAGCTGATAGTAGATCTTTAGCAGCTCATCTGAAAGATGATACCTCCAGTAGTAAACACTTTTCTAGTACTGCACTAGAGTGTGAGTGTTGATTTTGTACTCAACTCTCCAGAATGGAGATTAAACCCTTAACCCCTGACACAGAGGCAAGAGTGCTACCTACTAATTACCCAAAGCTAATGTCTATACAACCAACCCAGGTATTGATGGTTTGTAAGCTATTTTATCAATGGGGATGTCCAACAAATTCTAATTCTATCACCAGATTATGACTGCACACTGTTTACTTATCCAGAAAGGGGTTAGTGAATTTCACACTGAGTTAAGAATTGTGACTGATTTCCCCTTATTTCAAGTATACCGAAGCAATTATATCATCCCAGTTACCATTGCAGCAAACACCCTGAACTGAACCTCAGACACTCTGTTCTAGACAGCACAGTTTTATAATACATGGTAACTTTACTGTTTGACCACAATAGAGCTGTGTGATTTTTATTTGCATCTTCTTTTTTAATATAAGACTCTCATTATTTATGATATTAAAATTTGTAATCTTCAATATTAGTCTGCGCACATTGTATTAGTATTGAAACAAGATACTTATCAAAACTAATGAACTTGACCTATTAGTTTTACCTTTGATTGCCCAGAATTTCAGCCAAATATTTTCTAATTGCCATCTGCCGCTGGTAACGAGCATAGGTGTCTGTAAAGATGTCATCAGAGTTTCTCTTGGAAAAGAACTCCGGCTCATCCTCAAGGCTGCTATCACTATTTTAAAAAAGACAAAATCTTATAAAGGTTTGAAGATGGTATTTTGAAGATATGCTACTTACATCACATATACTATCAGTTCTCAGTCTCTTATCAGGGAAGGACATACAGGCTACTGTCTACAAATTTCATTTTCCCTTTCTTAAACCCACAGGGTGTGAGGGAACTAAACTATACATCTTTTTATACAACTTGAATATCCTAAATGTACTAAGCTGCATAATGCATTCATTTTACAATTAATACATCAACACAACAGCTACTCTACATTAAAAAAAACTATCTACATATATTCAAATAAACTCACTGCTCTGAAAATACGATGGATTACATAAACAAAGACTGAGATCAAATATTATTCTGACAGGAAAGATTTTTTGCCTTTTTTTTCCTGAAATGAGTATGCTATATTATGAGGAAACATTGAAGACTGAAGAAATGCCACAAATATACTTTGCTATTTTCCAAAGCCCATGTGTTTTTTTTATTCCTCCTACCAAGTTGCTCCCCCACCCCCCGCCCTTACAATTATCTATATTGTGAAAGGAACTCAGACATACACCTGAAGAGAAAAGAAAAATAAAGAGGATTAGCACTGGCAAGATTGCTCTTGCAGACAGCTGGCAGAGATGTGATGGGTAGGTTGGCCTCCATATATGTTGCACCATCATATGCTATGATTCTATCATTGTAACTTCCCATTTTCTACACGTTCATTAACGTTTTCTTGTATTTTGTCTTTTTCAGACTGAACTATAAATACAGCCCCTCCCTCATTTGGCTCCATCTGCTAATTTTGATTTTGTATTCCTGATTTCATAGTCAAATTATTTATGTAAATAGTGAACGATGGTTACAGTAATGATCCTTATGGAAGATCACTTCTCCTTCTGCTTTTAACCCCTTTACTCGTGGCTTTCTATTACTTGTAGTCCATTCTGGTGCTTGAGCTCTGAATTCAGTCAAGTGTCAATTTGTGGGAGGCCTTTTGAATTCCAAATATATCATGTCTGCTATAATATCCTGATCTTCTACTTATGTTACTTCATCAAATAATTCATTAAAGTTAATGAAACATGATGCCTTGCTTTTTAAAATCTCTTCGTTACATTTTCTGTTTACTAAATGTTATCAAAACACAAATGATAAAGGATTCTGATATCTTTCCTAGCACTTGCGTTCAGATAACTCGTGTATATTTCTGTGGATTTATTCTACCTCCCTTTCTGAATATAAATATCTCTTAGCTTGTATTTGAGAATGCATGGCCATAATCCCTCTGAAGTAAATGTTCTATTGTCTATGGTGTCAATTATCTCTTTTATTTCTATCTAGAATGTCATAATGCTCTGTTTTGACCATGTAGGAATAACATGTCTACCGTTTTATCTTTCTTGGTAAAAACTGAAATAAAATCAATATCCCTGCTGTTTCCACAGTTATTGCCATGAACTTATTTTGCATATTCCTTAGTAGTCCCACCTCTATTTTATCCTGTTGATTTTACTTCTTTATCTATGGTATATAATGCAGTTTCTTTTTATGTTCTTTGATAATTTCCTTCTGATCTCTGAGTGTTCCACATAATTTGGGCACATGGATTTGGGTTCCCATCCTTGTTTTTTGGTTTTAAGTTAACATTTATGTAGGTGCAAAAATATATACTCGATGTCAAAACAAAATGCGGTAATTCATTTTCAAGGATCTTTTTCATCAAATATTCACTAGAATCTAGAACTGGGTGCAGGCGTAGATCAATCACTAGCCTGCTCTGTCATTCATGTACTATAGTTTTAGGCAATTAATACCACATCATTCAAAAGTACGACAGAAGCATTTAAACTGATACACACAAAATAAAACAAAATATATCTCTGACTAGTTAACTCACCCAACTCTTTTGCCCATAATTGTCTGAAGAAGCTTCCTTGCAGACATCTGACCCAAGACCTTCCTGTAGCTGTTGGTGAATACTGCATCAGCGTGTCTTTCAGTTCTGAATGTACAAACAGCAAGAATTCTTAAACCACTTTATAAGGAACAAGCTTATAATAAAGTGGTCCTATGTTTTTTCTTTTGAAAGCAAACTCCATCAAACAACAGACACATCCTATGTAATATTTAATATATTTTTCATAATAAATAATTTAGTCATTATCCATGAAAACCAAACTGGAGCTGAACACATCAGCATTATATCTAAGGATAGATCATATAGCAAAATGCATACATATTGATCATGTTTACTTTGACACAATTAACACAAAGTATGATGGAAGGAAAGCTGAGTTAATGAAAAGTTCACTGTAAAAGTTTCAGTTTTAATTTTAGATGCAAAGCCAATGGTCACAAGCAGGAAAGTTTGAAAAGACAAGTGATGTATAGGTGTTTGTCTTTCATCTAGCAAGTCTTATAATTGCCCTTGACATCCCAATGCTTTATATTGTCACTGATACACAGATACATAAACATTGATGTCATTCCATTAATTGGACTGTTGAAATTAGGAGATGCCATTGTGTCCTTGGTTTGGTTAGTTCATTGTCTAAAATAAATTACTGGGTATATTGTGAAAGGCAAAACAAATTATATTGGGAGAAGAGATTCTTCCTCTATATAATGAAAGGTGAACACATTTGTAAATGAGTTTATGGTTTGATTAAGCACAGTGTTGAATGGGAAAGCTAGCTGGAATGGATATTAAATACACATATATGTATAGATAATTTAAATGCAACTTTTCAGTTGACAGTGTAAGGACTTACCGTTTTCCAGTGGTATCCAGGGCAGACTCATGGTCCTCATACAGCCTTCTGGCTTGGGTGATGTCACTCTCCTCTGCTGGGGTACTGAGCATTCTCCCCAGGATAGAACTATTTTCAAATCTACAGCCAGAGCCAAAGCAGATTTCCTTTTATTTTTCAATGTAACGTAATATTGATGAATTACATGAAGAAGGGTATAGACTTTAAAGTATTAATTCATAACGCAACATACAAAATATGCCAAGCAATTATGTAATATTTACATATTAATCTATAAATGATTAATCATGTCTTAACATAGCCGGGATTGAAAATCTGTTTTCCCATCAATTTAAAATACAAGATTTGAAAAGTCTTGTCTATTGAACAAATGTTGCATTGATTTTATCTTGTCAGATTATCATTTTTTTCATTTCACCATTCACGAATATTATACCGTGTACAGAATCTTGAACAGATTTTGCAGAAGTCTTGCAGTTTACTGTTGTTTGACTGTGACCAGTAGAGTTTTTATCCCACATGAAAACATAATTGCTTGACAACATTCACTTACCTTCCATTGTTTCGGATTGTGAAAATGTCACATCAAAACCAGCAAACATAAGAAGGCTGCAGCATAAAATAACTTTGTACTATAAGAAGACAAAACTTATGTAGTTACTAAGGAAGTAAACCCTCTATTGTTTTTTGTAATTGACATAACTTCAGTGAGAAGCTGATATTTCCAATTCAAAATATTATGGAAATTCAGCTCCAAACAAATATTGTTAGGTTTATATTGAGGGCACTTTCCGTAAAATGTTTACATTATCCTAAAAGAAACAGGGGCCTTTTGTTGTTTGCGAACAATTGTGTAGAATGTTGTAGCTGTGACAATCACTAGACAGGTACGTTGGTACAAAGCTATCGGCAAACTCACCTTCGTGCTGGATATACCGGTGAACACATTGTGTGTACAGTCAGGCAGTAGAATACCAGGAGGGGAGCCTTGCCCAGCATGGTCTGTTGCACCAAAGAAACATAGCACACATTAACATTGTCAGGCAATAATTTAAAATTGTATAGGGTTGTGAAAACCTTTGCGTAGAAAGTTTGATTTTTAACTATAACATTGAATGTAGTGGCACAATAGAACTTACTCTGTCGGTTTTCGCCAATTGAGTCGATGTTGTCGCTGCTCTGGAGTGCGATGCTTTAAACTCCGTTGCCTTCACTGCCTATTTATACTGCTGAGCCGTGCTATAGCGGCTGTGCCCCACTGCTTACATCAGGTCTGATAATCTCCCACACAACAGGCGTCATCGATCCCAGGCTAGAAATGCAAATAGCATTTTAAATTTCGGATTTAATTGAAGAGTCTTACGAAAATTGTCTCTCTCCATAATAAAGTGTTGAGGACATTGATGCACACCTGTTGTTTAAAGGTTTTCTCTTTAAATAGAGACAAGCAATCCTTGGAGCTTTCTTGGCATCACTTGATAATAAAGCATTATTGATTACATGTCTTAAGTAAGTTTGTAAAAAGTTGGCGGCGGGTTGCGGGGCTTAGTGATGGGGGGAACGAGTAAACTTAAAAAGCTAAACCTTCGTACAGAAAATCGACTGCGCTCCCAATTAAAAGCAGTAGATGGGCACAGAAAGAAATACAGCTACAAAGAAAAGCCATGAATGCTTAAACATTGAAATAAAGCCAAACTAAAAAAAAAACAAATAAAAAAATTGGAAATAGCTAAACGATCCATCGAAAAACATGAAAGAAAAATCCACGTTCAAACTTCTACATTTTAAAATTTCAAATAATTTCCATAATAGAAAAATGAAGAAAAACGCCTTTGTGAACAAAAAAAACACAACTTTCTGTAAATGTATTACGATCATAAAGTTCCGAAACTAAAAAGGCAAGGTAAAATTAATATCATCTGCACAGCATTAATTTGTGTATCAAGGATAAACGGAAATGCACGTGCGAGGACATTATAATTTAGACATTTCTTTGACTTTAAATAAGCACAGAGTAGTTTATTGAGAAAATCGCTAGAGAGCAAGAGAACATCATCCCAAAATCCAAAGATTTCTCAAGGTTTCTAATATTGCTCTGTAATCCGAAATTTACCTTATTATTATTAAGGCTGAAGATCGAGAAGATGTTCTGCACACCTAATGGGATAATGATTGTCCATGCCAGGCACACGTGTAGTGGTGACCTTACCTACACGCTGTATACTTAAAGAGTCCACGTGAAAGAGAAGGTACTGTCAATCTACAAACATTTTGATTGGAAATAAATAGTGCTTATAAATTATTATTTACTTTATGATAAAATTACCATTTTAATGGCACATTCACATTATACATGGGAGTCTGCACTCATGCAGAGAATGTGTTGTATCAATACTCAGAGCTGGAACTATGCATGCTTTTGAAAATTCTCCCAAAATTCACAAGAGTGCAAGGCAAGTTTTTCACACAAAGGGTGGTGAGTGCCTGGAACACATTGCCAGAGGACGTGGTCAAAGCAGACACAATAGCAGTATTCAAGAAACACCTGGACTAATACACGAATAGGAAGGGAATAGAGGGATGTGGATCCTGTAAGTGAAGACAGTTTTAACATGCAAGGGCAAAATGTGTCAGTGCAGGCTTGGAGAGCCAAATGGCCTGTTCCTGTACTACCTTGTTATTTGTTCTTAACAAACACTGTATTTAGAAAGCACCACTGCAGGCAATGTGAGGAAAGAGATAATAGGCTGAATATTATCAAAAATTGACTTAACTATCAATTTTGGGGAGTCTTATGAAGGTTTTCTCTTTGTGAGCTCTGGTGAGTTTCTCAAACTATTCCTAGCTGCTCACCTCATTATGTATGGACCATGGCTCTATGGCTTCACTCTTGCGCCATCTGGCACTAACCAGCAGCAGATGTACTCGCCACTGCCAAGTCCCTTTGGGACACCTATACCTTATTTAAAACCCAGCTGTGCATGAGGTCAATCACAGCCAGTCACAAATATCCCTTCATGGTACACGTTAGGAAGGGTAATGAGAAAGAGCAGCTTCTGGGGAGTCATGAGTGGCACTTCAGTGGGAATAGATGTTCACATTTGTACACGTATTGCTCTTTTACACTAGCACCTGTCTGAATGACTGTATTGTGACTACAGCTATAAGATTCACGTCACACTAGCTACTAGCCCTTAGTAACGCAGCATCTTACAATCCTGTGAAAGGAAAAACTACTCTTTCTCTAATATAGCATAACATCCTGTCATTGTTCAAATGGGACCATCACATGTTGGAAAGCCTTCAAACTGTTGAAAACATTAACTTTATTGAATAATAGAAAAAATAGAAAAAGCAAACCATAAAGGCTGCATTTACTTTTGGGAATAAATGGAGCTGCTAACCTTTTGAGCAACAATAGATTTACAGTCAATTAGTGATCACTGCACTCAGCTTATGTTGATTGGAATTGGCTGTCAATTAAGCCCTGTATGGCTTGTTGCATCTAATGCTGAAATATTCTATCATTGCTGAAGATGATGTTCCTTCTACGCAGTGTGCTTGTTGTCCACCTTAGAAAACTGCTGCTGGTCTCCAGCTCCAGCATCTATCACATACCTTCTTTGCCTGCTCTAGTTGTACAGAGCACAGCATGCAAGGATAATGCAGTACACTCTGTCTGGACTGTACTTCAAGGATCTGCGGACTGATTCAACCTTTCGAACATCATCTTCAAGAGTCCTACTATCTGCTCCATAGTTGCCCTGTTTGAAGCATGGAGTGCATTGTATCTACACTTGGCTTCTGTCATGAGTTGGATAACAAAGTCATCAGCCATGGTAGCAGACAATAACCCTTGTCACACAGTGGCCATCTTTGAAAGACATCTGGCTTTTGAAATGAGGTAGGAACCTCAGAGTTCTCAAGCATATAGATACCATGCCAACTCTTAAGTTCCCTGATGCAGTCCTTTAAGATGTAGTACCACTTACCACATACATGTTGATAGAATGAAACCCCTTTCAGTTGATGGTCAGCTACATTATAAAGAATGTTCCCAATGTAACTTTTATGCAGTCTACAGTACCCTAAACCTGGGTGAAGCCAGCTATGATGGCAAAACCCACAGCAGCTCTATCACTGACCTCATGTATGGAACAAAGTGGTGTAACTGTTGCAAATTACAAAGGTAATAGCCTTGATACATCTATGAGTTGGGAACTGAGAAAACCCACATATAAAAAGTTAGAGCAGCGATATTTTTGATGGTCACTGGGATAGGATACCCTCTCACTTGTTCAGGTCATAAGCCCCACTCCAGGAGATAGCACATTGTATCAGAGTGGGCTGCATCTTAGGGGTCTTTGTTTGCTTTCTTAGTGCTCTCTCACTTTGTGGCTACTTGGATGTTCACAACATATCTGCCTTGCCTTACCTTCTTGTACAATTTAAAAACCGAAAGAACTGCAGACACTGTAAATCAGGAACAAAAACAAAATTGCTGGAAAAGCTCAGCAGGTCTGGCAGCATCTGTGAAGTCAAAAACAGAGTTAACGTTTCGGGTCCAGTACTGAGTAACCAGTTCTGAGGAAGGGTCACCAGACCCAAAACGTTAACTCCGTATTTTCCTTCACAGATGCTGCCAGACTTGCTGAGCATTTCCAGCAACTTTGTTTTTGTTCTTGTACAATTTGTTGTCTGATTCAGAACTTACAGGTTCACAGTACTTTTGTTTTGCCTTAGCACAGATGCAAAGTCAGGCAGATTGTCATGGTTTGCTAGAGGGTGGATATGTTGCTGTATGGCACTGTGCTACATTAAAGATGCACCTACTGCACATGCCAACAGCTTTTGTGGCAAACACAATGAATGTGCTTCAACCAAATGGCTATGTCCCAAAGAATAAGTAGCCCACAGTCAGGGTCCCCACCACAGTCAGTCAATAGCAGTGGCCAATCTCAATCCAAGATCATTCCAGAGCAACTAGTCAGGGAATTAACAATAAATCAGTCAAGGAGCTGCAGAAAGATCAGTCAGAGTTCTCGTCACTCATCAGTTAGTGTTTTCCTTCCAAGACAGCAAGGAGGCTGGATGACAGTCAGTCCTGGGGATTGCGGTGTATACACATTTGCAGTCTTGCTATCACTTTCATGGTGACATAAAATGATTAGAAGTATATGTTCATTTTGAAATCTAATTGTGGAAATTTTGTGCCAATATTGGACACTGTACTTCAGAATGGAAACATTGCCATTGGAAGCAAAGAAGATCATTAGAATGTTACCAGGTTTCTAAGGCTTAAGTTAAGTTAAGGGAACATACTTGCTCTGAACCCTCACTATCTCTTCCTTGAATGCCTCCCACTGATCTGGTACTGCAATTAAGGCTCCTTCAATAGCACCTTCCAAACCTGTTACACCTATCACTTGAAATGACAAGAGCAGTAGATAGCTGCCTGAGGATTCATCTTCAAGCTGGACACTACCCTGACTTGGAAGTACTTCACCATTTCTTCACTGTTGCTGGGTCAACTAGTTCACTGATGCCATCACCCGTAGTTGGACAGATATCTAACAACAATAAGTCAAAATATAGAAGGGAGATAGAGGGCTTGGTGACGTGGTGCAATGAAAACAATCTGTCTCTCAATGTCGGCAAAACTAAAGAACTGATCAACGACATCAGAAAGAAAGGAGGAGGACACATCCCCATCTACATCAATGGAACTGAGGTTGAGAGGGTGGAGAGCATCAAGTTCCTTGGAGTGAAGATAACCAAAAACCTGTCCTGGACTTCCTACATAAATGCAACAGTCAAGAAGGCACAACAACACCTCTTCTTCCTCAGGCAGCTCAGGAAATTTGGCATGTCCATAAGGTCCCTCACTAACTTCTACAGATGCACATATTGAAAGCATACTGTCTGGGTGCATCACAGCCTGGTATGGCAACTGCTCTGCCCAGGACCGTAAGAAACTACAGAAGGTGGTGTGCACAGCCCAGACCATCACAGAAGCCAACCTTCCATCCATGGACTCTATTTACACAGCCCACTGCTGCGGAAAGGCTGCCAACATCATCAAAGACCCATCACACCCTGGTAATGACCTCCTACCAGCTCTTCCATCAGGCAGAAGATACAGAAGACTGAACACATGCATAAGCAGGTTCAGGAACAGCTTCTTTCTGGCCGACTGTTAAATGGACTCTAGCCTCAAATAATGTAACCTGCAACGTAACCCGTATGCCTCCAAGTCTTTTTGATCTGTACATCTTTGCTCGCTGTGATCTGCCTGTACCACTCATAAACAAAGCTTTTCACTGTATTTTGGTACACGTGACAATAAAATCAAAATCAAATCAAAATCAACATCTTGGAGCTCCTTTCCTAGCAGCCCTGTGAGTATACTTACTCCATGGTGATTCAAGAAGGCAGCTCAATACCGCCTTGGATTTTTTCTGAAGAAGGGTCTAGACTCGAAACGTCAGCTTTCCTGCTCCTCTGATGCTGCTTGGCCTGCTGTGTTCATCCAGCTCTGCACCTTGTTATCTCAATACCACCTTCTCAAGGTTAATTAGGAATGAGCAATAAATGCTGACCCAGCCAGCAACACCCACATCCCATGAATACATTTTTAAAAACACATTCATGTAGTTCTTTTTTCCCCTTGAGAACTTTTTTCTTAGTCTGCCTTTGTGTAACTATTCTAACTGTAACTGCATTGTGATTACATCCAGCAAATGCCCTCCAACTGATGCCCCTTTCCAGTTGCTTAAACCAAATTCCAGATCTGCCTCTTTCTTGTTGGCTTGTTTCTTTCTCCCTCGATGCTTTTTCACACCAATTCTATTTCAGTAAACACTAGAGTAGTTGAACCTAATTGTGTTCACAAAGATTTTGCTTTCATGTTTGTCCTTCTATCTCTTTCTGACTGATTTTTGTGTTGGGAATAAGTATATTGAATTTGATGTGCTGAAGCCAAAGGGTGCAAGAATATCTCCAAGAGGCCATCCAAAAATGCTTTGAGTTCACAACAAAATATTATAACTTCAGGACAGTGAATTTGAATTTTAAAAATGTTTAAGCAGTCGGCTGGACAGCTGGAAGCTTCATTGGAACACAGAAAAATTTATTCTGACACTTTATCTCACGTCAACTATGGGGGTTCAGCTGGTAGCACTCTCATCTCTGAGCCACAAGATTCTGGGTTAAAGTCCCACTTCAAAGCTTAGTGTGAAAATGAAAGCTGACAATACTGAGAAAAAGCAGCACTGTTTGAAGTGCTGTTTTGAGTTTAAGATGTCAAACTGCCTACTTGGATGAACCTAAAAGATTCTAAGTTACTATAAAGTAGTGATATTAACCCTGGTTGCTTGGCTAATATTTATCCCTCAATCAATATCTCAAAAGCAGTTTATTTGATTGTTACCATATTGCTGTTTGTGGGAGTTGGCTGTGTGTAAATTGGCTGCTGTTTCCTATAATACACCAATGACTACTGACAAAGCTTCAAAAGTACTTATGAAATGAAATCAAAATATTGCGGATTCTATAAATCTGAAATGAAGACAGAAAGTGTTGGAGAAATTCAGCAGCTCTGGTAGTGTCTGTGGATGGAGAAACACAATTAAGGTTACCAGTCCAATCCAGCACTTTCTGATTTTATATTAAAAGTACTTCATTGGCTGTAAAGCCCTGTGAGGCATCTGGTCGTCGTGAAAAGTGCGATATAAATGCAGGTTTTAAGGACAAAACTTGGAAATTGTATATATCAGCAACTATATACAGAGCTTCAACATAACTACAGCATAGTGCCAAATCAGAGTGAACCTAGTCTTTACTATGAAGCCTGGCCAATTGAATACTTCAGTGAAAAAAAACTACAGTTTTTTTTTATACTAGTCTGATCTGGGCTAACAGGACTCTGCTGCAGTAATGGATTCTTCACATTGATTTGATACGTGTTGGCAATACTCTGTGTCCCAATTTAACCGCATCCCCACAAATGTGTTTTTTTAAAACATATGTCTCAAGCAGGATGATTGAATTGCCCAGGTACATTAAAACTCTAACCTCGTGGGATCTGGGCTAAGCTGCAATCCATTCATGATCTAAATAAGGTGATTTGATCTCTTGCTGAGTGTTGCCATATTCTTTGACATTACGATGGAGAACACTGAAGTTAACCTTCAATAACTTTTAAGGGCCAGTGGATTCACTGTTCACTCGGTGGACACAGTACAATGGTTTGACAGTCTGAAACTATCCTGTGGGAAGAGTCTTGGCATACTTCTTGTGAGATGGTTCGAGTCTTGACTCTGAATTTAAAATGCAGTTAATCAACTGTGGATACATTTCTACAATGGTGATAAACTTGCAAAGGAAGACACCTGCTAGAATCATTATGATTGTAGATTTGGTACATTATATTTGGAAATTCACATTATTCATTAAGCATCCCTTTTCTGCTCTTTGGTGGATTAGTGTACAATAGGGTCTGCATAATCTAATGTAAATATTAGCTAGAAAGTTTCAAGTCGACAATGTCCTAGTAGCAGAATGCAATTTCAATATACGTAGCTTCTGAACTTAACACAATGTCACCTGTTCTTGCTCATCTTTCGGTTACGTCTGATAATTTAACTATCCACTCTCTTATAGCTTCCGAAGTACCAGCTGTTCCTGACTATAATGAACACAGGTTGTTAAATTAGATTTACACAGGACAGAAAATTGGTTTCCTTTTTTGTATTTGTTAAGTAATCAAAGTAAGGATTAGACCGGGCAAATATTTCAGTATTTCACCTATGTAAAGAACAAGACGTTTGTTACAGTAATATGGAAAACGCAATAAGCTTTTATAGTTGCGGATAACATCAAAGATCACTGTAATTGCTGTGGTAAGTTCTAACGACACAAACTACTTGATTGCCTTAACGTCGGAAGAGTTATCCTTTTGCCCAAAAATACAGACCTTAATGCTACATATGACTACTCTCACCCCTTCTTATATGTATAAGTGGGAGAAATTGGATTCTCAAAAAACCCAAACCGTGGACTTTGAAAATAAAACTTGATTAAAACTTTCAGACCAACATTGAGGATAAAATATGAACTGCAAAAACTTCAAGCAAGTTGAGAGACCATATAGGGGTTTATAAAATCATGAGGGGCACAAATAAGGTGAATGAAAAGGGTCTTTTCCCTAGTGTGGAGGAGTTCTAAACCAGGACAAAGAACAACACAGCACAGGAACAGGCCCTTCCACCCTCCAAGACTGCGCTGACACATTTTGCCCTTCCATACTAAAACTGTCTTCACTTACAGGATCCGTATCCATCTATTCCCTTCCTATTCATGTATTCAGCCAGGTGTATCTTGAATGCTGCTATTGTGTCTGCTTCCACCATCTCCTCTGGCAGCATGTTCCAGGCACTCACCACCCTTTGTGTGAACAACGTGCCTCGCCCATCTCTTTTAAATGTACCCTCCCCCACCACCCCCCACCTTGAACCTGTGCCCCCTAGTACTTGACCCCTCCACCCCGGGAAAAAGCCACATACATTCCACTCTATCCATGCCATTTACAATCTATATACTTCTATCAGGTCAGCCCTCAACCTCCTATGTTCCAAAGAAAACAAACCCAGTTTTTTCCAACCTTTCTTCATTGCTAAAATCCCCCATACGCGGCAACAGCCCCGTAAATCTTTTCTGTACCCTCTCTAAAGGATCCACATCCTTCTGGTAGTTTGGTGACCAGAATTGTACGCAATATTCCAAGATTGGCCGAACTAAAGTTCTATAAAGCTGCAGCATAACTTGTCTATCCTTATCAAGAACAAATACAAAGTTGCTGGAAAAGCTCAGCAGGTCTGGCAGCATCTGTGAAGGAGAAAACAGAGTTAACATTTCGGGTCCGGTGACCCTTCCTCAGAAGTGATGGTGGCTGGGAAAACGTCAGTTTA